CGACCTCAACCTGGAATCTCAACTAATGATTATCTCATCAAAGAAAATAAAAATTCATTAATAGCAACATCTGGTAATGTCGTTATCATCACTCGAAATATTTGTGAGTACCGCCCAAGGCTTTGGTTACCCAACAGTTGAATCTTTATTGGGTATTTATTTAAAAGAACGAGAGCAAAAGATCGAGACTTCCAATCAAAGGCGTAAGCACCGACTGATACTGAACACCATTTCCACTGCTCTGTTTTTTCTATGTCAAACTACGTGAACAGGAGAATATTATTTGTTTCAAAGAAGACTGAGCCGGTTGCCACAACTTTGCCCACAACTTTGCCGAAGAAGGAGGGAAGCCCGGGTTGGCCGGGCCAACCGACTGGTTGAAAAATAAACAGCACTCCGAGACAATTTTCGCTAATAAATTATCCCACATCTTGGCAAATTGATCTTCCCTTCTACCGTTCGTATGCATGTTTATGATTCCTGAATCCAAACGATCGTGTGCGCTTCTTTCGGATCACTGTGCTCAAAATAAAGGGCTTCAAACAACCACCTATCGAGCAGGCCCATTCTCCAGTAGTGATATTAGGGGAGCATGCTTTGTTGCCAATGCGTATATGGCAGAGGAACAGCGATGGTGGATAACCGTGGACACGGGATGTTTGGCTCAAAGATACTGCTCACAATAATTTTGAGGCACCCGTTTAAGTCGAAAAGCGGTAGTTTTGGTTGGGAATAGTGCATCGGTGGTGGAAGAAGCGAGAAATTCGCCATTTTTTCGGAAATCAAGGGTCTTCAAAAGCAGTTGAAGTAAAGGTTGTACGAGATTACCATGACGGAATGACATGAAAGGAGTATTTGGGCAAGATTTCAGTTGTTGCACTTGCGCAATGGGCCTACGGCATCAAACCAAGAGTGTCCAGAATTGCCGTTTATTGTCGCTATGGGTCATGACAACATGTTTCAACTTCCTACACTGGTTCCAATGCGAATGGTGCAGTCTTTACAGTATCGTTGAAACTCGTCCGTGCATGCACACAAAGCAATCTTTGGACTTTTGTAAGCCGTATTCAAGCCGTTTACCAACCTGACAGCGCAACACAGGGGTATACGATAGGGCCACAAATTTTTCCTGGCTTCATATCTCATGAGCCATTTGTACCGTGAAGTGTGCCTTCAATATAAATCTGCTGCAATCGCCTATCAATAGGTCTAATCGTTCCGATTTCCATAACATAAATGCGACTTGGATGCGTAATTGGCCCATGCAGCCCCTGTTCAGATCAGCCAAACCTCGAACATAGTTTTGCATTGCCAATGGAATAGATTTCGGCCATTCAGCTGCTTCTGAAGAAACCATACGTTTTGTCGGCCGGTGCCATGACCAAAATACCCCAGGTGAAAAAGTGATCCTAGGAATGATTGGGAAAATGAAACATATAAACAAAGAGAATTCCACCTGGTGCTACGATCTGAAAACCCATGGGTTTCTTTGAGACAATTGTGTAGGTTATGCCTTCATCCCTTGATTGAGCGACTAGATTCCTTTGGCGTGATTGTTGTATGACGGAAATGGTGCTCGCGCACATGTGAACGTAAGGGGAGCAATTCTTACTTTTAGGTTTCCACAAGCACAAATTTAATAGTGTTTTTCAATTCTCCTGTCATTTCGTAATCCTGTGTTGTTTCCTTGGGGCTCATTTCTCTTCACATTATAATATCATAGTACGAGCAATAACTAATCGAAAGTGGTTAGAATGAGGAAATGAGGAGGTGGATTATCCTACTGCGTAGGAAGCTAGACATTAACTGTACCGAATGCCTCTAGAGCAATGAAACTAAAACTTGCTGCTCCATAATGGGTGGGCGGCTCTCGCCTGAGAGGTCTGTCCCATCTGGCCTTCGTATTTAAATATCTGCAGTCTTAGCTTGGTTTCGAAATGACTGACTATAATCGGGGGGAGGGGAGGGGGAGTGGGTACTATGTCATCGGGAGTCGATGTCATGGTGTCATGGCTGTTTCTGATAGTGATTCATATGTGGAAATATCTTGATTACTACATGACGAATATTTTTTTCAGGTTTATATTGTATTGTAGATTGTTGTTTTCTGCCGTGACTAGATTATTGCCATGGGGAGGTGAGTAAGTTGCGAGCAGAATATCGGTCAACAAAGCAGAACAAAGCACATGCAATCTTTTAGAATTCTCAGCATAGTTGTTCTTTTTCTTTTGAATCTTTCGCTTTGTCTAGGCTGCCAACTGTTCAGGAACACTTCCTAGTGGGCTGACTACTTAGCTGTTCGGATACGAAACTTTGTTTCGATGTTCGGGCAGCGTTGAAAAAGTTTTAATGTGGAACATTCTGGGGGGAGGGACATATTTTGTGTAGGAGGCTTCAGTCCGAACGGTGAAGCCTGGCGCAAGTATGGAACAGCGTTTTTACAAAAATTGCGACTATTCTAATGGGTCTCTTCTTTGTTATTTCACAATTTTACTCTACTGCTCTTGAGGAAGTGTTCAGATTTTAAATCGTCTACTTTTGAGTACTCGCTGCTCTTAATGCAATCTGAGCATGTCGCTGCTTCGTTGATGTTTGCACCTCATTCAAACGCATAGTCACACCTAATGGTCTTTTGGTCTGCGTAATTAAAGCGGCACGCTCAAGGATCCAGATTCTGACACAGATATATTGCGAAGCCTTGATTTGGTCAAAATCGACCTGCGTTTCTCAACATCTATAATGCTGTCTTTGGTGTGGTCTGGTAATGTTCCAGACCACCCAATCATCCTTAGCTAGTCGTTTAGCTTACTGAGCGTCCTGGCTCTCTATATGAAGCAATTAACTGCTCCATGTTGAGGCCCCACTGTCTTTCAACCTGCGGAGGCCTTCGAAAATGGCATAGTTTTTTTAGCTTGGTGCCCCAAAGTAGTTAAGGGCGATCACGTTCGGCTTGGTCATCGTTATAGATAGCTAGATCGTCACACATAGATCGCTCTCTTCTTCGAATGTGTTACAACACCTTTTGAAAATGTTTCGTTCATCTACTCAGCAAATCCAGCAGGATGATATCAAACGAATGAACCGTAAGCAAATCTCAAATCTAGAACAACTTCTGTAGTTTCCATTTATCGGCATTTGATCGATCTTGAATACTGCTTTTCTCTTAAAATGAGAAATCACGCCCATTCTATTATATTTCACAGGTGATTGCTACAGAATTTTCATTAGAATCATTCAAAGTGTGGCCAAATGTTTTTACCATTTGTTATAACGACATATCCCCAGCGTAAAGGCCCAAGAGCTACTTGAAAGTCTCTATTTGGAAGCCGTGAGGTGTGTTCATTTGATTGCCTGATTAGACTTCCGAAAATTTGGAAGCGTTTTTTATGGGATGTTGACGACTTCGGCTTTGGAAATCTCGAGGCGCGTTTTTATGTTGTCCTGGCGACTTTCATTTGGCCAGCCGTCGTCAGTCCGACTGCTTACAAACTGGGTTTGTAAGATCGACGAGCAACGCTATCGGAGGGATGACGAACATGATTGAGTTACGGCCAATGAGCTTGGCATCGTCAACTCGTCAGACGTGCTCGAATCATTCGCTCAAATATTAAACTATTCGCAATGAATTTTTTTGATTCCCTGGTGTCCCTAAAATGCTCCTAGAAGGACTCCATGAAAAGCCACAGCGGCCATGCCATGTATGACATTTGATCACACTTTTTTGTATCTCTTTCAGTCTTCATGGGCTACAATGTCAGTAACTGAGACTGTTTGAGTCAACTAAACACTTCCCTTTCATCTCTTTTGCTCCACACTTATTTCTACTGGTGGACGCCTTCGTTTTTTGAGGTCAAGTACTTATCAGTAATATGGACCTAATGAGTCGTTCCATGTAAGACAAGCAGAAACTTCACTGTATGAGTTCCCTTGTACTTGAACTATGTCAAAGCTATCATTGGAGGTAGGCCTTCGGTGCTTCCTCGAACTCGGTATAAAGGTGTTTTTGTAAAGCCTCAGCCAGGATGATATACCTCTTTATTCGGCCACCGTTTCGGCGTTATCGCCTTCGTCAGGAACTGGAAGCCAAAAAATACTAGAGATTCATCCATATCGAAAATCATTTCAGACTTCAGCTCAACTCAAGTGTAACTTACAGGTATCTAAAAGCATCTCATAAATCACAGCTGGGAACCCACCTTGGTAATGGAGAGGATGACCTGTGGACCACCTTTCATTCTGCCTATTTAAACGTTTTGGTCATGGGTGGGCTCAGGGAGACGCCAAAACGTTGGTCGAATGAAGAATTATATCATTTTGGCTAAGGCTTTACAAAAACACCTTTGTACCGAGACTCATATCATGGCAAGATTCATCGAAAGTCAATCATGTCACTTCCTTGAACTGTTTCTAATATTAAATGTTTGGTTCAATCAATTAACCTCATTAGGGAGCTATGATTTCAAAGAAATTCGGGGAAATCAATCCGTGTAATGAGAACCCAGGGATGCTGTTTTTCATAGAATTCAGACCCTCTTTCAAATCAATGTTGGTGAAAAGATACATATCGGCGGTGTCAGGCATTGACTTCGAGCACCTTCACATTCCAATCTTCAGCTGCTTGTCATGTTATTCTCCGTCATATGCATTCACTTCCTGTAACCAACATATTGCAAATTCTCCTTATTATTTACTATGAGCCATAACATAAAAATCGTTTCGTCAAACTCTTCAGCATTCTGTGCTCCTACCAAGCCTACAACAGCCGCTTACTGTCAGAGTTTAGTAAGTTGTGAGTGTTCGTTATTGCTTTCTATAACGTCCTTGTCCGCTACCTTCGACTGTTCTAGAAAGAAGTTCGTTTCGTTTGCTCTGCTTGTAATTTCTAAATTTACCCTATGCAAGAAACTACCTCGCTGCTCATGTAACTTCCGTAAAATTAATCGTTTATCTCGCTCTCTCGTCGAGTTTTCACAATTATCTTAATTCTCGCTTCAGGTAAAATGATCGTTCATGTGGCATCCGTATGGTGTGCACTCGTAGCGCAAGCTCTGTCGTTAACCATACCAAGCGGTTAGTTGTTTCTTTTTCTCTGGGTTTTTAGATATAACAATCAATTTCAACCGTAGTAAACCTGATTAGAAAAGTTAATAGAATACTGTTGAAAGCGTAAATTTAAGAATGACCCTATGATTAGCTGAGTGAGGCTCAGGTGAACAACAGAGAGCATCTAGGTGCTGATAAATGCTTATGGAACGCCACTTCTTTTTTCCACATACTTGTGTGAGTCCAGCACTTCTCTGCAAAAGTAGTCGGTCGTTCGTAACTTCAGTGATCAACGGGAGTTTTACTAAAACTTGTCGACCATAGAGAAGTAGGAGCTTGGCTTGACCTTTCGAATATTATCCAAAGATTTGTCGACCGTGAGCAGAAAATCCACTCTGGCTTTGGTCTACCGTATGAGTTGCACAAGTCAGTCTTGACGATCAGATTTTCTGCACCTCAATTTCCTACGAATCTAATCTAACACTAGGTTTGTGGAAGCGCATTACTCAGTTCCATCAGAAGTCCATTATATCACTCTGTAAAGTCATCATTTAAATGTCAATGACATTAGCAGCAGCCGTGATAGTTTCCATGTAGTCTTCAAATTCTTTTGCAACATTATATTAGTGAATGCCTCATAATTATATTGGTATTCTGTACAAGGAATTCGAGATATTCGAGTGGTGTGATGCTCAAAGTTTTCTAGGCCACCAGAGTTAGAGAATACCAGAATTTCGGCCCTTTACCACAGTGGAGCCACTGAGGCATATAAACGTCCTGCACGTTCACTCTTCATGGAAAATATTAGTTATTGCCGATTGAACTAATGGATGATTGTGTTTGTCAAGAAGCTGCATTACAGCAATTTGCTGCAATGCAGATTTCTTGGAACTATTGTCATTTTTTGGGTCAACGTCTTATCATCATGAGGCTTGCCCTTAGCACTCCAAATAGTGCTGGCAAGTGGGACAATAGTGGAGTAGTTAGTAACTCTTCTGTTAATTACAACTGAATTCTGGGACGCAGGAAATTTTCTTTGAGATCACTTCGCCTGGAAAATCTCTTTCTTCATTGCATGTGTGAAACTTCCAACACGTTTATTCGATGTGTCTTCAAGCATCAGTGGTGTAATACATTCGCGTTCCAGTTAAGTGAGGAGAGTTTCAGAAGGAACTTGCTGTTGGTGTGCGCCTTGACCTGCATGAGCAGCATGTATATGTTCTTCCCTTTACGTTGACTGGGCGATTTCTTGAGAAAATCGCTTTCATATGATTCTACACTTCGAAAATGCCGTGGTGCCACTTGATTCCACATGCTATTGCGACTGCGCTATATTTCCTTCATTCCTTTCTTCGGCCAAATTTTTCCCTGTTCATATATTCTCTCCATGGAATCGAAAGAAAAACGGTGAATCTCCAACAACCTTGAGCTGTGAAGCTCTTTTTTTTATTTTTCTGGGCTTCACGGTTTTTACAGATTTTATTCGGTGCAAGATGAATTTCTTGGATAACCGGCAATGGAAAACTCAAATTGAACGAGAAACAAATACAGGTGTCCAAGTGATGAGCGAAAAAAAACCAATAACTCAGTTTTCAGTTGAACTAGAAAAACGATTCCAGTACATGGAGGTTCCCATTGTTCAATTTGTTGAGGGACGAGAGGCACTAAAAGAAAACTTCAGAAGGATGCATCCCGAGGTGAGCACATTTGTTGAGAATGTTGAGAATTCAATTAGGTTCAAACGACTAGGAAAAAAAGTCCCTCTGAAAGCTAGAAATGCCATGTGAAAACGAAAAAGTAAATTTCAATCGGGTTGGTCTGAGGCTCAAATTAATGGTGAGCTTTGGGCTGAGGATGCCAACAAACTTAATTCTACTGCTGATCATACAAAAAGGAGCAGGCACTGAATTTGAGGCGCGTTAGATAATAAGAAAGTCACTGGATTTCAGCTGAGACAGAAACGTTTTGAGGGACTAGCCGATTACGTTGCTCTCGAGGATCCGAACGCCAAACGCTCCAGCTTGAAACGACTCGCCATTCTCAGCGCAAGAGGATTTGGCCGGAAGTGACGACGATGGCCCACTGTACACTTGTTTCATCTTGATCTCTTTTTTGTCAGTCATTTTTCTGTCCTGATCTCTACAACAATCTCATCCATTGTGGCGACTCTGATGTTTCAGTAAATATCACGTAGAATGCTTGTTCTGAGTCCTCTAAATTCGTATAAGTTTTGTGTGAAGTAGTAAAGAATCTACAACAGTTAGAACACTTTCTGTTTGGCTACTCAAGGTAAAGAAAAGAAAAATGGAGGCGAAATCGCTCAGAGATTATTTGAAGTCACAGGATACGACTCGACACTTGCAGTCCCTTCATTTACAAGTTGAGATTAAGTACGTCACATCCTGATCAAACCCAAAATGTTCAATTATATCAAGAACTTAAACCAGCAGCGATCTTTAGTGGGACCATCGTTCACTGTACCATCTGTCGTCCTTTTGATCATCGAATTTGTTTTTGTTACGTGTCGAAGCAGTTTAGTGAATCGTAATCACGAGAGACGCGAACCATAGACAAGCATGTGGTCATAATGCTGACGGCGGTACGTAGTGGTGTTCACTTGGGCTTCGAGAGATCCAGTCAGTAATCCGCTCTGGCAAAACAGCTGTGAATGAATCGCGTGACTTGCGCGGTCCGTCTGATATTTGGTTGCTGGCTGAAAGCCACGGCATCCTTGTTCTTACTTTACTGGCAAGGCTAAGTACTGCAGATTCCCTTCTGAATAAGCTTGTATCGATAAGATGTAAGTACCATCCATTCCACCTCACGTTGAATGACGCCTACTGCCTACTGATTTTGCTTGCGTAGAGCCCAGGTCGCTAAGGCATATGTCAAGCGCAGTATCGAAAAGGTGGTAGCAAAAAATGTTATTCTTCTCCTCAGCTTTTCCCTTGATATCCTCGGATGATACCCTTAGCAGGTTTCTGCTCAGTTGCAGATACAAATAAATACACGTAGCTAGAGCATTTAGAGAGATTCCTTCCATTACGTAAAGTGAGCATCAGATACAAAACCAATTCTCATGAACATTCTCATGAACTTCGTTAAGTTCTTTTCTTGCCTTTACTTCACTCTCATAACTTCCTTTTCCATATGATGCATGATATTGTCGATAATTGCACTGAAAAGTCTGGGCAAGGCCAAACAAACAGTACTGATATTTACGAGGGATGGCCAAACGAAAGACCGTTTGTCAGCCCAAAAAGTTGGAGAGGCAGGGCTGAGCTTGCTCGCCGTAATTTCAATTAGACTTCGAGTGACTGTAGTGAAGTTCCTTTTGCAGATCAGAGCAAGCTCAATTTGTTTTGAAGTGATGGTATAAGGCACGTACGACGTCCACTTTGTACGTGCACTATACCATCATCTTGGTCTTTCGAAAAATTTTTCCAAAGAACATGTTTCATACAACTAAGCATGGTAACAAGTGTGATGGTGTACGGTGCCTTCTCCTCCAATAGAATGGGCCGTATTTTGAAAACTGACGGCATGATGACGAGAGAGTACAACGAAAACATGATGGTCGAAATCGTCTGGCCTTGGGCACCGCAGCACATGCTAGTAACATGGATCCTACAGCAGAATAACGATTCGAAGCACATCCCAAATGTTGTGAAGGCGGCTTTTAGCAAACAGTGGATCAGACTGTGGAGTGGCTAATCCAACCACCGAATCTGAATCCTGTAGAGCACATGTGAGAAGAGCTTAAGAGGGGCTGTTCGAGCGAATTTTATAGAAAGAGTGAAGAAAAATTCGCCTCATTAACGGAGGAGTGGAAACTATGTCAGTACTTCCCATTCAAAAACTAACCAAGTTGATACCTACCTGTTGCGCTGCTGCCATTGAAAGTCGAAGCTTTTCTACCAAGTACCGATACTTTCGGTATTTTACGTGTTGTTATTCTGAAACAAAACGGTTTTTCTCAGGGTCAATGGTATCTGCATTTTCCACTGCGTTTGAGGTAAATCTCAGAAACGTACGAGAACGAGAAACTTCACTTATTAGCATTTATAGTGTGTTTCTGATTTACATACTGAAAATTCATGCGATTTTAAAAAGAAAAAAAAATGACGGGAAAGCGTTTCGCATGAGACTTTGACCACTACTGTAGGAACGATTAAGTAATCCGGCCCTGCATTACTGCTTCCGCTTCAACGATACCGGGTTTATTCAAAAGGTTGAAGGTAGGATATAGTAGCATCTTGCGCTTTTGCGGTATTTCTGTGAGTTTTATGGCACTGTGGATGTGACCAGTTCTACTAAAAACTTCGAAATCTTGCTTATCATCCTTCATACGGTATTCTGCAGGTCATGTCGAGGGTGTGAAAAGTACACAAACTACGAAAGCAGGCCCATTGGGGGGCAATCTCTCCCGGACGGACCTACTCAATGCTTCCGTATTGGGTGTACGCTCAGGTTTAGGAGAATGAGGTCCATTTATGTTACTATTTTGGCGTATAGGGCGGAGGTGGTGTAGAGGGAAGTGGCGCACTATCTCACACCCACGGTCAGAGATTTGAATAACGGATCGACGCTCGTCTAGGCTTGAGAACTGGGATGACATCCTATAGCCAGCCAGTGTATACGATGAGCCTATCTACGGAAGCCCAGCCCATTCGAGGCACCTGCGTCCTGCGCGGGCGGTCGTTTCTACTACCATCGCTCTGCTGAATCAAAGAGCGCTTGTTCGGATTATTTCTGTTGTCTTATGCTACGTCTGTTGTTGTATGTCGTCAATATTCGTTCTAAGCACCCACCAGTCTGAGTCATCTACATTGCGGCATATTTTCTCTAGTACTAATCTATTGTCATCACGAAATCGCAAGGCAGCGCCATTTCGTTAGATTATCGATATCATTGATTTGGGCCGACGTTTTGATCCAGTGAGCTCCCTTGTGTCTGTGGAAAATATTTTGCGTTCAAGCCACTGTCCAGGTTGATTTTGATTTCGAATTTCTTTCACTTCTCTAATTGGATATGATTTCTCCCATGGGACCTCCCGTTCAAGGGCACCGTGGAAGGAAACAACGAGCCGATGTCTCCAGCTATTGATATGGATATCGTTAGGGCAATAGAATTGATTAGCGGAGAATCGTTGTAGCTGTGCATCTGAAGGCAGCAATGGATTTCTTAATGGAATTGAAGGATCAAATGAGTTCAGTGTTATCGAAGAACAAAGAACTAACGGATGAGAATGCTAGTATTCGTCAGAGAAATAGTGGGTTGGAGAATGAAGTTTATAGCTTCAGATCCAGACTATTGCTTTGAAACAATTATTGCCTACTAATGAGAGCACATCACTCAGTTTTCTTCAAAGCTTCCACCAGCCAAGTATGTTACCTCTTCCGATGAGCTTGATTGTGAACGTAAACGTTCAGTAGTCGCTATAGGGTGAAAGAGAGTTCCGCTCCCATTGCATCCACTGGTGTTCTGCATGCTATCTCTTGTGTTAGGCCGATCTTTGACTATTTGTCCATTAAATGTCGTCCTGTTGTGGCAGTGTATAGGAAGAGCCGCTTTGTGCCTAACAAGCCCAGACTTTTAAAAGTGGTATTTCCATGTTCTTATTTTGTGTCGTTGTTATTTAAGAGATCCTCTCAATTTAGATATTCTCAGGAGGAAGGTATTTTTAGAAGACCGTCTTCATCTAGAGCCCAGCGGGAACGGTTTAACAGGTTGACCATGAGGTTTGAGACTTGCTGAAAGAATAGCTGAAAGGGTTGAAAGTTGAAAGGCTAGTAAGTCTCAAACCTCGTGGTCAACCTGTTAATTCTCAAGTGAATCATAGTGATTCTTTTGATGTGATTGACAATTCTGTTGCTCCTAATTTTGATAATCATACCCCATCGAGCATTGTTAACAAAACGGTCAATTGTGCTCCTGCTGAGTCATACAGCTCTGTTGCTCATTCGGGAATTTTTAAGTGGTCTTCGGTTGCATGATTCAAGGACAGCTGTTGAATCCGATCCTTCTGATTGTGTGAAGTTGCAGGGAGTTGCACATCTGATCGCTTTTTTCATTTTCAACATGAGTTTCATGTACTTGACAAGCCAGTTGTCTAACAATCTGATATTGAATGCTTGTTGGAAAATATTCGTTCGTTCTTCAAAAACATGTATACGCGTTTTCTCCTGATTGGAAAAATGGATTACGGTATCATCGATGGTGGAGTCCTTCTCGTGATTAAACGTTCGCTATGCCCTTCACTAGTGTTTACGGAGACCATCCCAAAAGGCTATGAGTTA